CTTTGGCCAGAGAGATTTTCAATAGATCAGACATATGGCTGAGGTAAAATAATAAAGATTCTACAAGAATAATTAGTAAGTTGCCTTTTGGGGACCCTTTGGCCAGAAATATGTTCATTAGGTCAATTATGGGCTACTGTATGACTGACGTGACATGAGAAGAAGTCTATGAGTTCATATAGTAACAAAACATTTTTAGGAAACGTTGGCGAGAGATATTTTCAATAGATCAGATACAGACTACTATATGGGTGAGGTAACATCAGAAAGTCTTTGAGAAATATATAATAAGGTTCATTTTGGGGACCCTTTGGCCAGAAATATGTTCAGTAGGTCAAATATGGGCTACTGTATGACTGATTTGACATAAGAAGTCTATGAGTTCATATAGTAACAAAACATTTTGAGGACCCTTTGGCGAGAGATACTTTCAATAGATCAGATACGGAATTCTATTTGGCTGAGGTAACATCATAAAGATTCTATGAGAAGAATTAGTAAGTGGCCTTTGGGGGACCCTTTGGCCAGAAATATTGTTAGGTCAAATATGGATTCCTTGCTGACGTAACATCAGAAGGTGCCATTATGTATAGAATGTTTAATATCGAGTACTCCTGGGCCATAAATATGCCCAGTAGCTTAAATATGGACTACTGTATGGCTGAGGTAATATCAGAAAGAGTCTACGATAATATAGTAAGTTCACTTTTGGGGATCCTATGAGTTGGTTCTCTCTGCGGAACATGAAATCCATGGGCAGGAGTCGGATCCAGACCTTACATACTCCTCCCACCGACCTTACATACTCCTCCCACCTTACATACACCTAAACCTACCCAACTCTGCCCCCTGATCCCTAAACCCAACCCTAATCCTACCCATCTCCACCCCTTGGATCGTGATCCGACTCCTCCCCGTGGATGTCATGTACTGCATTGAGGTGCTACTGGATCCTTTGGCCAGAAATATTTTCAATGGGTCTGATATAGTCTGACTGATTTCTGACAACATCAGGAATCCATGAGTTTATATAGTAAAAGATAAATGTTGATGACCCTTTGGCCAGAAATATGTTCATTAGGTCAAATATGGACTACTAAATAACTGACGTAACATCAGGAGACAATGAGTTTATATAGTAACAAAACATTTTGAGGACCCTTTGGCAAGAGAAGTGTTCAATTGATCAGTTTATGGACTACTGTATGGCTGAGGTAACATCAGAAAGAGTCTGTGAGAATATATAGTAAAGTTCCTTTTGGGGACCCTTTGGCCAGCAATATGTTCATTAGGTCAATTTTGGGCTACTGTATGACTGATGTGACATGAGAAGAAGTCTATGAGTTCATATAGTAACAAAACATTTTGAGGAAACGTTGGCAAGAGATATTTTCAATAGATCAGATACGGACTATTATATGGGTGAGGTAACATCAGAAAGTCTTTGAGAAATATATAATAAGGTTCCTTTTGGGGAACCTTTGGCCAGAAATATGTGTTTAGTAGGTCAAATATGGGCTACTGTAGTAACAAAACATATACGTGACATCAGAAGAAGTCTATGAGTTCATGTAGTAACAAAACATTTTGATGACCCTTTGGCGAGAGATATTTTCTATAAGTCAGATACTGACTGCTATTTGGCTGAGGTAACTTCATGAGGATTCTATGAGAATGAGAAGTAAGTTGCCTTTTGGGGACCCTTTGGCCAGAAAGATTTTCAATGGGCCAAATACAGGCTGGCCGACGTAATATCAAAAGTACTCAATGAGCATAGAAAGTTCAATATCAGGGACCATTTGGCCAGAAAGATTTTCAATGGACCAAATACAGGCTGGCCGACGTAATATCAAAAGTAGTCAATGAGCATAGAAAGTTCAATATCAGGTACTTTCTGGCCAGAGATTGTTGATTATGTCAATAAATATGGACAACTGTATAGCTGACTTAACATGAGTCCGTGATTTTATATTGTAAAAAAAAAACAAATGTTGAGGACCCTTTATCCAGAAATATGTTCATTAGGTCAAATTTCAAAACGTCATATAACTGACGCTTTTGACCATACGTCAGCATCTGACGTTTTAGGGTACCCTTTCACGTCAGTTAGATGACGCTATCTAATCCTAACCCTACCCCAGACCTAAACCTACCCACCTAGGATCATCATCTAACTGACATTAAAGGGTACCCTAAAACGTTGGATGTTGACGTATGGTCAAAAGCGTCAGTTAGATGACTTCTTGGGATGAGAAGGACATAACATCAGGAGTCAATGAGTTTACGTATAACAGAATATTTTGAGGACCATTTGGCGAGAGATGTTTTCAATAGATCAGATACGGACTACTATATTGCTGAGGTAACATAAAATATTTGTTGAGAATAATTAATAAGATGCCTTTTGGGGACTCTTTGGCCAGTTTCTGTTCATTAGGTCAAAAATGGACGACTGAATGACTGTTGTGACATCAGAAGTCTTTGAGTTCATATAGTAACAAAACAGTTTGAGGACGCTTTGGCGAGAGATATTTTCAATAGATCAGATACGGACTACTATATGGCTCAGGTAACATCATAAAGATTCTATGAGAAGAATTATTAAGTGGCCTTTTGTTCATTATATGTTCATTATGTAAAATAGGGATTATTGTATGGCATAGAAGATTTCGTTGCACGTCAACGCTTGAGCGAGCTAGTTCTTGAAGTGCAAATTTACTAATATGTAATTTTTCAACGAATTATGTACAATTCAGTGCAAAGCAGATTCCATTGCACTTCTCTCCAACACATTGCATAATGTTAGATCTTGAATCGATTGCATAAACAAAGGGCATATTTACAGTGTATGCAATTCTTCAGTGTACGGCGCTTGACCGTCTGTGCAATGCTATGCATAAGCATATTGCATTTAACATCTCTTGAAGGCACTTGGGAATGAGTTAGTTCTTGAATGCATTGGAATGAAACAAAGTGCATATTACTTATGCTTCAATTCACAGCGCTTGACCGTACAGTATGTGCAATGCATTGATTGTCAGAATGCATTTACTTCGGAATGAGCTAGTTATTGAATGCATTGAACTAAAACAAAATTGCATATAACTTATTCTTCAATGCACAGCCTTTGATCGTATTTACAATGCAGTGCCTAGCAAATTCCATTGCATATCTCTCTAATGAGCTAGTTCTTGAATCCATTACAATGCAACAATGGACATATTTACTAATATGTAATTTTTCAATGCAAAGCGCTTGATCGTCTGTGAAATGCGTGCATAAGCAGATTGCATGGAACATAGCTTGAATGCACTTTGGAATGAGTTAGTTATTGAATGCAATGAACTAAAACAAAATTGCATATAACTTATTCTTCAATGCACAGTCTTTGATCGTATTTATAATGCAATGCCTAGCAAATTCCATTGCATATCTCTCTAATGAGCTAGTTCTTGAATCCATTACAATGCAACAAAGGACATATGCCCTGAAAGGGCGAAGGCCCTATTGTTTTCCTTAGGATTATTTATTAGGGCCCAAGCCCTGAAAGGGCGAAGGCCCTATTGTTTTCTTTAGGATTATTTATTCTTCTTCTTCTTTTTATTTTTCTGCTAACTTTTGGGCATTTTTGGGGCCGGGGCCGGGCTGAAGCTGGTACCCAGGCGTGGCAGGGCGGCTCGTCAGCGCCCCCTGGAACGGGGTCCGAACACTTGGTCCATAACTCAAACATGCTTGTATGTAACACAGTTTTTTTCAAGTGTTTACACGCAATTTTGAAAACCGGGTTCTTTTTTTTTTCAAAATATAATGACAATTATCCAAACACCACACTAAATTTGCATAATTCCTAGATTGTTTACAAAATGACACACTTCTGTCAAAACATACACACTTCAGTCAAAAGATATACACATATTTGTGAAAATGCTATTAGTTTTCATTTAACCAACACAATCCTCAATGATCAGACACTATTGCAGCCAGTTTCACACTGCTGTGATAAATAAAAAACACATTTGTAAAAAACTATTTTTAGAAAATAGCATGTGCTAGATTTTTGGCCAGACATTGTTATGTAAGGGATAATTGAAAAAAAATGAAAATGAAAAAAAAGTGACAAACTCCAAACTACATTCTTCATGATTAGTTTGAGATATAGGGAGGTTGTACACAAATATATAAACTTACCAAGCACTGCACAACACTGATGCTGCAGACTGAAAATTTCAAGTATTTATTTCAATACTTACAGTATTTCTTAGCATAATCAGTTACAGAAATTAACCAAAAAAGAAATCAATGAAACAAATAATATCTGTAAACAAATTACAATTACTGCATGAAGTACATACACTTTGACTCTGAAGAAAAACGAATGTAAAAGCAACAAGAATATTGTAACTATTCAGTTACAGTATCAACCAGAGATTTGGTTGATCTCTTTGTCCAGCTTCCATCAGTGTCAGTCCATGGTTGATAACATGGTAACATAGTCAATAAGTGTTGCACGGATTTCTTGAGTCAAATTTGGTCCTCGTCTTCTTTGTTCAGGTTCTATCAACTCTTCAATTCAATCTCTATCTCTTCCTCTAGGCCTCTTTCTCTATCTCCTTCTTTTCCTCGTCCTCTATACCTCTTTCTCCTGTTCTTCATCCTCTACCCCATTCTCCTCATCCTCCTTCTCCTCTTCCTCTATCTCCTTCATGTCCTCTTTGAGCTCCCTCTCTTATTCTCACTCTTCTTCTTCTTCTTCTAGATCCTTCTTTTTTTGTTGAAGACTCACCTGCTGCCTTTTATAGCACAGTGCTGCGTTTTCAAATTAGCACATGTGTGCTTCCACACCTGGTGGATGTGAATATCAGAACCCGCGGCCATCAGGGCCGGGCTGAATATGGCACCCGGGCGTGGCAGGGGGGCTCGTCAGCGCCCCCTGGAACGGGGTCCGAACACTTGGTCCATGACTCAAACACGCTTGCATGTAATAATATGAAACTCGGTACACATCTCATCGTTTCATCTATACCTCACACTCTTACTTTTTACCCCAGCCCAACAGGAAGTCGGCTATTGAGGGTTGTTGGTAAAGCCACACTACACGTGATGCTGGCCACACTACGCATCACAACCTCCACAAGCTCTACATTAGCACACACTCATGTTGCTCGTTCCCGATTGTGAGCACATCTACTTCCTCAGAAACAGATAGCTCGAGCAAGGAACAGAAGAAGCCGCTTTGTGGGCTTCTGAACGAGTGTTATAGAATCTCCTTTGCACAGGCAAACAACACCTAATAAGACAGACAGTTTCACAGAGAGCGCTTGCTGAAGAGTGAAAGCTAATGTGTGTGTGTGTGTGTGTGCTAGCGTCACTTTTATGTGCCGTCACGTTACGTCATGATGCAACCCCAATCAGGATTGGATTAGTTTCAATCATACTTCAGAGGTGCACGCTAAGGGAACGCCCCAAAGAGTTGTTTTCAATGACGCAGTGCGTGTTCCCTCGAAAGGAAACTCAAAGGAAAAACTTCTTTTCTTTTCAGCATAGGCCTATCAGTGTTATGTTAATATACCTTTAGTTTACACTGCTTTGACTTCGTCATTTAGTTCAGGTGCATGTCGTTAATTATCTTCATTTGCATGACTTGTTTATTTAAACGTTTATTTGTTTATTTAAAAAGTTTATTTGCCCATATAATCTTAAAATAATAAGGGTAAAGTATTTGACTTGCTGTCTGCAGTGAAGGGGCTTGAGAAAGCAGCTCCAACTCAAGCTTAGATAAACCCCCGTGGGCCATGTGGAACTAATGCTTGGATGATGAGTATGGTAGCAAGATGCCTAAATTGTGTTGGGAAGGTGGGGGGGATGCCAAAATATCTGATGTAAGGTGAGCGGCTGCTTATATGCTCCAGCAGTTTATTGAAATATTAGATGGGTTCACTCTTCCTGAAACCATTTAGGAACTTCACAAAAACAATTACCAAGAGCAAAGTATGTCTCATTTTGTGACAGATACTACTCTATAACTCATTCAGGCTAAAATAGCACAACATGTCAATCTAACTAGACTAAAAGAACAACATCAGAACCTCAAGACCGTGTGTCAAAATCAAAAGTGAATTATAAAATTCCATTTGTGAAGACAAATTTTGCAGCATATGCATACCATTGATTATCAGTTACATTTTTCTTTTATATTATATTATGGAGGACAGACTGGTTCCCAGGCTGGTGGGAAGAAACCCTAAAACGCTTCCTCACTCATCGCTCCTCTGAAGCTTGTTTGAAAACCTTACATTAAATTATTAAACACTCATTTCCACTCACCTATGGATTCAATCCAAAGCATAAACCTTGAAGTGATATAATATTTACAAACACATTTGCAATAAAAAGGTCTTTCCTCAGTGCAGTAAATATTTGTAGAAACTCTTAGCTATGTAATCTAAGCTTGATGTGCTCTAGATTTTGTCAATGACAGCATTACCGCTGAATGTCAACTATTCCCGTCGTTAGGAGCCACAACACTGCACATTTCAGATGCCCCTCTTATTCACACATGACCCGATCAGATGAGGAACACAACACATTTCCCAAGGACAGGAACTGAGACCAAACCCTGAAAAGTGTTATGTCATAGTTTGGTAAATCACAATATTAAAACAAAGGGTGTGACCAGAATTCATATATTACTGTGGAGATTTGGCATTTTAAATCCAGATTTCTGCAGTATGCTGACATAGACATGCCAATCATATTTCATGATTTCTGAAATGAGGTGAAAACATGTTGTGAAAACTTATACAATTCAATAAAAATGTGTTATGTTTGATACACACCGTGTCTACACTGGACACAACCGTTGTCACGTCAGCTAGAAACTGTCCACACTAGTTGTGAAAAGCCATCATTGCAAATCCATTTGTCCTTGTCGCAAACAGAACAGGGCATCAGTTTATTGTCAGGTTTGTTGAGTCACTGCACTGCGTCCAGTGTAGACAGCATCAGTTAATGAAATAAATGAAAAAGTTAACCAGTGTCCAAGTTTGATCAGGGCTGGACGGCGGCCCTCAAGGTTCGAGTATGTCTGAGGCTGATGTGACCCATTTAGGAGTTCAGTTTTAAAATCTGTAATCTTTTTATTCCTTTTAAATAATAAAGTGAAATTTATTGTATTATTACGTTTAAGCTGTGGCACAATGAATCTGTAGCCAGAAGAAATCTGAATTACCACAGCATCAGTTGACAGCACTTCACTTTTTATTTACTTGTAAAATTGTCAAATTTAATCTTGAAACATTGAGCTAATCTCAAAACATTACAATTGTATTCTCGTAAAAGGCCTAATATGAGATTATCTCCTTGATGACTTTTCTTAAAATCTTAGATTTGTTTTTAGCACTGAAACGCCATTATACTAATCGTATTAATACTAAATGCAAATTATAAAATGCAAGTAATAATATCAATATGCAGTTTGGAGATCAAAATAAGCAGATGTGTCAGTTTAGGGATTTGTACTAGTTGACATCAGTGACTAAGAATCCCATCAATCTCTATGGTTTTCTGGTGCATAAATGCTAGCCATGGAGATTGAAATTATAAAGATATTTTGAGAAACTAGTCCTTTGTCATTCAGCCAAAAAATCTTTGTCAGTTATTAATGTATCTCCATCAGTTTGTAGATTAGTGCTATTGAAGGGGTCATGAACTGCATTTTTTTATAATTATTTTATTCAATATTCCACTTATAATGTTAGTAGGATTTTCACATCAAATACGTTGTAATTAAGTCATCGTTTAAAAATATAAGGCCTAGTTTAAATGGGTGTCTCTTAAGCCTTCAATGTACTAAGCCTTCCACTGCTATGATTGGATAACATTATAAGTATTACCCATGTGGAACTCTTTTGAAAACTTTAACTACATTTTTTACAGCTTCTGAAATAACTAAAACTTCTCAAAAGTGTTGATTATAGTATTATATTTAGATCTACTCCTCAAAAGGTTGTAGCCGATCACAGGCTGTTGAGCGCACAAATACAACAATCTCACAAATTTCAACAGGATTTCTGCACTTTCATGAAATGCTTTCAATATATAGAGTAAATGAGATTTATTAAGCAGTGTAGAGAAGCATCACTGATTGAGCCAAAACAAACGCCAAAACTGGAGTTTTGGTGTTTGTCACTGGCTTGGTTTATCGACATAATGACTAGGAGTCTGAGCTCAGAAATCACTGAGATTTTATAATTAACTTACATGTTGACGCATAACTGTTTGGTCCGAATCTTTCCATAAAGTCTGGATTTTCATAACTGATGCCAGCGCTCTACTGAGACCTTGATAAACAACCACCTTCCTAACATTGAAATCCTTTGGAAGGTACAGTAATGTTATTTTTAGTCCAGTGATCCTGTTGTTCTTTCTGTTGTTATATAGATATAGTGGGTTGGTCAAAGAGTAGGGCTTGATCTGTGTGTTCATTATTTAATCAAACCTTGAAGAGGCAGCTAGGTTTCAAGAAAATCTGTTTTTGGACCAATGTTTTAAAGTTTTGAATTCTAAAAACATACAGTATGTTGTTTTAGCACAATTATGTGTCAAAAGATTTGATTCAGTTCAGTTCAGGACCCCTTTAATAGGTTCTAGACTTCTAGACAATGATCGATGATGGTTTTTCTTGCTGGATGTAAGTGTTCATTGCCTATTTGCCAGGGTGATATTTTGGACTATTTCATGGCCGTTTGTCACAGCCACACTGAACTCTGATACTCTGTCCACACAGCCAACAGCACAAGTGCTCCTTATGCCAGACATGGCCATTCGCCTCCTGAACGAACATTTCTGAAAAGATTAGCTGCGGAAGAAAGAAAGAGACAGACAGAGAATTCATAAGTGCATATTTCACATACACATCTCAAGGTAAAGAATATGTCATGTCCAGTTTTCCTTATTTTCTTTAAGATGAAAGTGTTTGTTTCACCTCATCGCAGCCCAGGCAGCGAGGTCGGATGCTCTGGCAGTAATGGCGTCCACACATCAGGGATCCTTCCTTCCAGAAGTAAATGAGGTCCACCAGCGCCTCGCCACACTCGCAGCACATGAAGCAGGTGGGATGCCAGAGCCGTGTGTAGCCCGCCCTGTCCGCATACACCACAGGCCTGTCCAGAGCGGCCCGCTGTCCACAACCGCTGCAGTGCTGCCAGACACATGGACAGCATCAGGTGTGAAGGAGATGGGTTAACAAAGAATGTCAAAATGGGGAAAATAATACTAGTTATTTATTTACTCATTGTAAAATGCCCTTTATCAGTGGTTCTTCACCATTGTTATTTATTATTAAGTGTTTTTTGCAAATGGAAGTAAAATAATGACAAATGTTTTTGAAACAAAAAAGCTTGTTGAACTGCACTACTTAATCCACAATAATCCATATTCACCTTTCAGATTTTACTTTCAAAATATTCATTCTGTTCAAAAATAAAACCTATAATATTGGACAGGAAATTTTCGGGGCATTTTATTTCACTTTGCAAATTCAATGCTTCAAATTCAACAGAAAATTCAACATTTGACATCCGGGAACGGCAGGAATACCAGTGGATTGCCTATTGTTAGTCTATCTGTTAGTCTGCTCACCAGCAGGGGGTGCAAGGGGCTGTGGACGACGAAAGTTTACCCTTTTACCCATCTGCAAAACCTTCACTAACTTACATATTCACTGAGAGGAGACTGTGCCGTTCCATTAGTGCTGCTCTCATCATCTGGCTGTTCCTCGGGGGCATTTTCATTCTTCTTGGCTGGACCTTTTTCTCCAGGCAAGGCAACTTCTCCCACTCCTAAGGATTCCTCCTTATAGTGTTTCACAAACTGAGCCATAGCTTTCAGCTCCGCCTCGGACAGGCTGTGGCAGTATGCAGGGTCGTGATCATAGGAGGGTAGCTGTCTGAACAGTTGCCTGTGGCGATATAACGATCCTTGTGTGCCAGCCACGGGTCGTCTTTCTTCAGGGAGAAGCTCCATGTACTGCATCGCCTGACAGAGAGATAGAATTATGTAAGAGAATAGCAAAAGAAGGAAAAAATATTTTAACTTGTTTATATTATCATAATATTATGTTTTCATTTATTTAGAGAGAATTATCAAAAGAAAAGTGACCGGTGGCATTTTTTTTTGTCTCACTGAGGAAAAGTGTGAAATGGTAGCAGTGTTACTTCCTATATGATGCTATGCTGGCTTGAGAAAGTCAACATACAGTACGGCTCTTTGATTTTCTAACTGATCGCACTTATTGGTTTTCCTAAAACGGACAATCAAAACTCACAAAATTCCCTAGACTTAGATTGACAGAATGAAGTCAAGAATATTTTAGGGCATCTTTTGTCAATATGTTTTTCTGTCCTGCATCATAAAATGCTCAACCGATGCTCAATATTCAGTGATGGTTAAACAATATATATATATTTTTTGTTCCTAAATGTTTGGTGAAAAGTTTTGGAAACACTTTATTTGAAGGGGTGTGCATAAGACTGACATGACACTGTCATAAATATGACAACATCTGTCATGAACATTGATAGATTTTGTATTTTCAGTTATCAGATTCATTTACATTGTGACGTGTATCATAATTAATCCACTCTGTCGGTGTCTGCAAAGGTGTGTGTCAAATGGCCCATACAGATGAATGGCCCATTCAGATGTATGGCCCACAGAAACTGATTGGTGTGAATGACAAAGACTCAGCATTGCTCAGAGTGGATTAGCATCTCCTGTGGGAGGTCCTAACAGGTTTCTATTGTTTGTAGCCCATAATCTTCTTTATAAAGTTCTGTCTCACAGACAGAACATTGGGTTAAGATTGTTGAAGGGTGACATGATAACATCGCTGCTGAAGGACTGCTACACTACAAACCTTCAATAAATTCTTCTCCCCACAAGAACTGGTCAAGCTTACTTATTTTATGTATTGGAGAAATCCAATACATTGGCGAGCCACTGAAACCACTGCTCGGCATCACCAAAATCTAACAATTTGGCGAGCCAGCCAGGAGAGACTGACAAGAAGAGAACTCATCAGCTGCAACAAGAAGTAAACGGAATAGTTTTCAAGTATCTGAAAGACTGCATCTGCATCAGAAAAGACTGCATATGTGGACACAATTTATTTGAATCAACTGGATCCGGTCTCAAATATCCTAATTTGGTGAGTAAAACTTATCAGCTCTCTAAAAGAACATCTTCTGAAAAGAATAATAGTTGACCAGTAAAGATTTGTAGTGTTGTCACACATACTGTGTATTGTTGAGAATTTTAGGCTTGGGCCTTTTTTTATGAGTCTGTAGGAACCTTTTAAATGATTTAGTTAATTCTCCTGAAACTGTAGGAGCTATAGAAATAAGTTTTATAGCTTGGTCCTGTTCTCGTGAGTCTCTAAGAATCATTTAAGGAAGAGGTTTGGTCCGTTCTCATAAGACTGTAGGAGCCATTGAAATATAGTAAAAGGTTTGGTCCTTTTTTTGGAGTCTGTAGGAATTGTTAAAGCAACAATTGAGTCCATTCGTCCAGAAATTGTAGAAACTGTTTTAAGCGAAACTGTTGGAACTGATGTTGCTGCAAGAATTGATAATTCTTGACTGGGTGCTAATTCAGTAGCCAATATAAGATTAAAATGTTTGGGACTGAAGTTGCTGCAAGAATTGGTAATTCTTGACTGGGTGCTAATTCAGTAACCAATATTTTAGTTTTGAATTAAACATTCTAATTGTGTTAGAAAGTAGAAGTTTATTTGCCTTCTGATGAAAGATGCAGAAAGATTGAAAATCTAATGTCTAAGGGACAAATTTAAACCAATTCAGGTTAGAACTAAGAAAGAACTGAATGAGTCTTATCAATCAGGAGTGTTCTTTTCTAGAAATGAAACAAAGAAACTTGGTCTAAATGTGAATGTTTTGTTTGGAATGTAGGATTGAAAACTAAGCTGAGTTAGTAAATTAATGATTTGTCTGTGTGACTGAAATGGTCAGACTAAAGACTGGTGAGAATTTAAATAAGCACCTTTAATGGCACAAACAATTTTGTTTTGTTTCCACACCTCTGAGGGCACCTCTCCTGTACTTGCCATGACTGAGTCTCCACTAAACAATGGTAATGGCCCTGCACTGAGGCCAACAACAGAAAGACATGGAACAGAACCTCCAAATGTTACCATTGATCAGATGTTGGACAATCTGAATGCATATTTGGGCAAACGGCTGGGACTGAGGAAGTGCCATGATGACATGTGCCAGAAGTATGGCATCAAGCACTCAGAGAGTGGAATATGGGCCTTGTCGGACATTAAAAGGGCTTATGGAAAGATGCAGCGCTTAAGGACAAACACAAACAGAGATGGCTTGTCTGTGATTTTGATAAAACAAATTCTACAGCATCGACAGAAGTGTGAGACTGACAAATCACAGCGCGAGTACAAAGCAGAGAAAGCAAAAGTTCGAGCACTTGCTGAACAGAAATGAAAAGAAGGAAAAAGAAAGACTCTTGAATGATAACAACAAGCTGTTAAAGTTGCTTTCTGCAAAACCAAATCCCATAAAATCTAGCAGCAAGATAGAGAAAGATTCACTCTATCCATTTAAAGACCTCAAGAAGCTTCAACAACGTCAGTATCTGCATGAAGAAAGTGACAGCAGCTCGACTGAGAGCCCTGATGACAGTGATGTTGAACCTGAGACACATGCTAATGTCACCAAGAAAAACAAAAAGGTTAGACTCGCTCCGGTAATTGTCAAGAACAGAAGGACTGAAATTGAAGTTGACAATGAGGAGGAGTATGAGGAGGAAGGCGAAAGAAGAACCCGCATCGTATCAAAAATAATTAAGAAATATGTTCCCTGTAAGACATACCAGCCAGCTTTACCAGAGCAAGTAGACAAGTGGTCTAAGGAGTTACCAGATGTGTACAAACAACCACGAAAAGTATGGCAATTTCTTCAACGTTTACAGAAGATCTACAATTTACATCCAGTAGATGGTGTGATGATTGTTAATGTGAACTTGAGGGACAAGGAACAAAAGAGGATAACTGAAAGTGTTGAAAACAGGGTAGGCGAGTCTCAAGAAAACATTGAGGCTGGATGGGAAGCTGTACGAACATTCTTGTTTGAACTGAAACCTGCAGAGGTTAATTGGGCTAGAATTACCTCATGTATGCAGAAGACTGGAGAAATTGTTGCGGAGTTCGAAGAACGCTTCAGACAAACCTGGTTGGAACACTCCGGTGTAAATGACAGTGAGGATCTGGACAAGGACACTAGCATGCCTCTGAAAACTGCTTTTGTAAATGGACTGAAACCTGAAGTTTAAAAAGCACTCAAAATCCGATATGACGACTGGGACAGCATTGGAACATCTTTTCAAAAGATTGTTGAGTGGTCAGCAAAGATTGAAAGAACACAGGAAGTCAAACTCAGAGCATTGCGATCGAAGAATATGTCATACCACAGCAAGACAATGTGGAATGAGCATAAAGAAAATGAAGATAATAGACAGTCAAAAACTCAAGGAAGATGCAGGTACTGCAACGAAGAAGGACACTGGGTCCGTGATTGTAAGCTGAGTTTAAAACGTCAAAGTGATGATGAGGACAACCTCTTGAGGAGGTTTCAGCAGTTGACAGATAAACAAAAACAGACTCTGCTAAACGCTGTTGAGCCGCAGGGAAACTGAAGAGCCTCTCTCTGCAGCACCAACTTGTGACATCTCATCCGACAACTGATGGACTCCATGTGTATGCAAAAATGACAAATGAAGACACCACCCCAAAGGTAAAAGCATACACAGAAGTCTCAACAACTGAAGCCAAAGATGATGTCCAAGTAGAAGGTGCTGCTATACAAGCCGTAAAGGAGAGAGGTGCACATACAGCGGCATTAAGACAACTTCAACTTCAAGTTTTGCCATGTAAACTTATTCCAGATGAAGCACCCAGAAAACAAATGCCATCAGTGATGGAAGCTAAAACAAAACTGCATAATGACAAGCAATGCAGTAAGGATGACCACAAGGAAATTGGACTATGCCCTTTTGAACATGTCATTGGCCGGCCCCTGTCCAAAGAAAATCTAACATCTGACAGCCTTGCCCAAACTGATGAAAGACTCAGCCTGGTAGAACACAATGCCAAGAATCCATTTTCATCATTAGAATCCAAGAGGGATAGCCTACAGGATCTCATGGTAACTGATGAAGCAGTTAAGGTGCAGAGAAAAGATGAGTGGACTGCCAATGGGATTTGAAACATCTGCCTAGAGATGAGGGATAGACGGCAGTAGTGTTTATCAGAGTCCAGATATGGCGGGACTAGGGTTTTTAGGCCCTAGCTTGTCGCCTGAGGACGAAGACATAAACATACAGCCACTGATAAACACAGTAGTGTCCTGCCAATATTAAATAGGGACAGTTTGTCAGGCAATTATGAATTAGGTCTTTAAAATATTTTCCTTGGCAAAGATACGTTCCCCGTTTCTCTTTTGTGTGATTGCAGGTGTTCCAGCATTCCAGAGGATGAGCAATTGCATCCGACGTTTAGACTGCACTGGTCACCTAGATAAAAACTTCTGAACATTCACAGAACACAACCCTATCCGCCACTTCCAACAGAACATAACTCCAAAATAAAAGCCACCAGAGGACTCAAGATGCAAAGTTTCACTATGAACTCTTATTCTTTCATTTTAAGTGGAGCCTGTATGCAGCATGCTGTATATAATGAAGTTTGTTTTGTGATCAAATATGATCAAAGGGGGGATTGATAGATTTTGTATTTTCAGTTATCAGATTCATTTACATTGTGACGTGTATCATAATTAATCCACTCTGTCGGTGTCTGCAAAGGTGTGTGTCAAATGGCCCATACAGATGAATGGCCCATTCAGATGTATGGCCCACAGAAACTGATTGGTGTGAATGACAAATACTCAGCATTGCTCAGAGTGGATTAGCATCTCCTGTGGGAGGTCCTAACAGGTTTCTATTGT